CGAAAAAACCACGCAACAAATATCGATTTGAGGTACGTGGCTTGGTGCCACCCCTGGCTGCATCGATTTTTCGATTGTTTCGAACCAGTTTTAAATTCGTCCACTTAGATATAAATTTATAATGAAAAGTTTTTGTGATTATTTGGAACTTAACAAATTTGAGGAACTTAACAAATGGAACTTAACAAATTTGAGTACCACTGAATGTGAACGGTTAGAAATACAATAAGTAGCTCAATCTTTAAGAAAACGAAGCATGTTTATTGTTTTGCTTCTTGCATCAAAATATAATTTTTTAGAAAGTGGACTTAGCAAGCGATAGGTAGTTTTAAAAAGGGAAATAAAAGAGTTTAGTAAAACAATTACATTTCCGACAGATTCGTTTTTGGCGATAAAGCTGTTGTACTGAACTAGTAATTTGGTTCACTCCATCTTTTCCAACAGTACTTTCGAAAGTATCAATTTAATTTTAGAGTGTCAATTTGATTTTAGAAAATTGTTTATGCACGAAGATTAAAGCCTAACCTTCTGAAAGCTCTGGTTCACCTAGAGTTGACGTGGTATTTTTATATTAAAAACGTGTGTATTAGGGCTGGGATTATCAGCAAACTGCACGTATTTATAAAATAGAAATATGTATGTGCTTAATTACCTTTAATTCCTGCTCTAAAATCTGTTCCTTTAATTTGTGTTCTTTTAATTTCCATTTATGCTTCTCCAATTCCCATTGATGCCTCTCAACATCATGTTTATGTCTCTCTGCATCCCATCTGTGCTTTTCTGCAGCTCGCAGTTCCTCATTTTCCCAAAATAAGCGCTCTGTGTTAGTCGAGGACTCTTTATTTGTCCTGAAATAACTTGGAGAATATGATATCACGTTTTCATTTGGTATTGACTTTTCTGAACTCGAGTAAAACCATTGGTTAGGGTGCTCCTAAAAGTTTTTTTGTACTTATTATTTGTTCTTTTATACAACGGTGTAAACAACTTACAGTATCTCTAGATTCAGTATCTTGCAGCCGTTCATCCTCTATGATACCATTTTTAGCTGCTTCAGTTTCCGTACCATATGTATTTATAGCTACCATAAAGAAATAAAAAATAACAAGTAAAATCTCTACCCCTCGAATATTATCTTTTCATCCCTTTTGAGCATTTCAATTACCATTACTATCAGCACTTGTTTTGCTGTCCGTTGCCAAGCCTAATATTTCGGCTACCCTATCCAAATGTTTCTTTCGTTCCAATTGCTTTTGATCACGTTTCAAAACCACATATTTTTCTCTCAGATTTTTTGCGCCTCTTCTCAAGCCAAACTTCCTGGTGAACTCCAAATCTATTTCATCCCATGCCTTGCGCTTTGTCACCCAGGTAAATGAGTCCGATAAGTTAGATTCAACTACATTTGATTTCTGCTTTACCAAGGTAAGCAAAAAGTGTTCTTCAGCAGGCGTATAATTAGGTAGCCTAACTCGAATTTTACTATCGCTCATTTTAAATATGGATCATGGAATTCCACTAGACTAACACAATCGGCATATATTTTACATGGTCGTCATAAAAATCTGTGGGTTACATAATATAAAAATAGAGAACTGTTTGGTAATTCAAATTTAGGGAGGACTTAATAGTTTAAAAGCATTTACGTTTCCTAATTATGGTTTTATCCCAAAACAGATTTAAATTAGTAATAGCTTCCCAAATCGGCTGAAATACCTCTTGCAGATAGAATCAATACATTTTCCCAAATGTTTAGGTCAACAAGCCTCAGCTTATTTCTAATCACCAAAAATGCCTAAACTAAGTTGAGTTGGGAGATACCTGTCCACACACACAGCGTATTCGTGACTAAGACCAAACCTGGACTTAAGTCAAAAGTAGTCTTAGGGCTGGGTTTTCCGAATCAACTTAGTTTAGCCATTTTTTGGACTTAAGTCAAAAATTTAGCCTATTTTTTACATAGCTTATTCTTGGCTATAATAATAAGTTGAGTTGGAGAAACCAGCCCTAAGTGTTTGTACATTTTTTTTTTTTTTTTGTATCGGGTCCCCCATTTGGAGAAAAACCCGAAATCATTGAACAAATAAGGAAGCAGTACCCAAGATTTTCCCCAAGGAATCTTCTTTATCCAAAATCTAAGCTTCGAAGGATGGTTGTGTAATAAAATCTTTGCAAAAATAATCGGGATAGCATAGCCAGAATGGATCTGATCCGACTTTTTTTGGGAGTGCGACCGAATGTTACAAGTTGGGAATTNTCTAAGCTTCGAAGGATGGTTGTGTAATAAAATCTTTGCAAAAATAATCGAGATAGCATAGCCAGAATGGATCTGATCCGACTTTTTTTGGGAGTGCGACCGAATGTTACAAGTTGGGAATCGCCGTTATGCGTTGCCACAGGCAAGGCGACAAATGAATCTACACAATCACAAAACCCTCACCTGGCGTTAACATGAATGCATATAAACTCTTCTTGATTGTGCGATGGCGTCCAACGAAATAACTTAAAAGAAAACGTATAATTACCTTAGCTTTATCTGCGCGATTAATTAAATAATTTCCGCTAATTTGACGAAGTTCACGCAATTTCTTCAGGGAAGTGCAGCTAGAGATGTGAGGAAAGAATTATTGCAATGAAAACATCGATTTCATGTTGTAAAAGTGAAAGTACATACCATTGCGACAGCGTAAAGGCCCCGTCAGATAGAAATTCTTTACTACGTCACATGGATGATTTTGACTGACAAGACGCACATAACATGGCGAGGCGGCACAATGAAAACGTTGCCACAAACAAAACGGCTCATATATTGGCCAAAAGTTAGCTGGTTTGAATTCGTTTCATACATTGTTGTTTTGCCGCATTCACGCGCGTCAAAAGTTGAGAGTTGGGCGATTTTTATCAGTTGCAGCAATGCATGCGTTGCCAATGCGGCGTCTTTCAATCAAAATCACAGAGTTAACTTCGATGTCAGTCAAAAGCATCCCTGTGACGCAGAAAATAATTTCTTTTTGGTGAGGCCAAAGAACGTAAATGTATAAGAAGCGACAACTCGTTACTTTGAAAAT